AAATAGTTATAATGTGTTTTCATGAGACTCCTGAGTATCGATGTTAGCGAATAGCATTTAGGTAAGGGAGACAAGTCAGTCCATAAAGTTATGAACTTTCACCCACTGTGGTGCCCTGGACACGTGTTGCATATACTAAGCCACCTTGACATGCCGAAGTACGAATAAGTTGGGCGAAGGCTCAGGATGTCTAGAGTAAGATGTGACATCAGTCTACGAAGTCTCTTACTGTTGGTCTGAGCCAAGTAGGGAATTTTAGAGTATTTGGTTGGGGTTATTGAAATAACGGCATTTAATGGTTGGAGACTATTAGTGAGATGTTCAAAAATCAATCACAATAGCCCAAATGTATACAATATTTAACATTTTCCAAAGTTTTGTCTATACACTTGTTCTTTGAGTGTTTCCGTGAAGTGTGACAACTTGAAGTCATTCACTTTTCAGCGAGATTTTACGGTGATTTTATCTCTATGTCTGCTGTGAACCAGGAAATTCTATATAGGATGGTAAGCGTGCTTAGATTCAATCAATAAACTGTTAGCTATTGGCTAATTTCATCCTAATGGGATCGATTTCCCACGATTTTTATGAGAAGTTATAACTTGAGGAATGTAACTCATATTGACATATTTACCTAGGGCCTCAATGTTTTAGGTTTTTGTGCTGATAAATTCCAATCTGAGAAGAGACGGCCATCTAGTACTGCTATGTTATCAACATTTCTCCTTTCCGATGTTACTTTACACGTTGAAAATTGATTTCCAGGCATCGATTTGACATGTGAACGGAGAGATTAACCGCAAGGAATATCTCAAAAATTACAAGTTACTACTCTCATAGTTTACAGTCGTATTATCCTAGCCTGACTACTGCCAGCTCACTTCTAATTTCTACCTATCCTAACCAGTATCAGTCTACTATAAACTAATGAATCATACGGAACGTAATTAGCTGCAGGGACATCCGCCTATTTCTTCTATCCATACGTTTATTTACCAGTTTATTATTTTGTTTATAAATGAATTACCATTGTTTCTGTCAGTATGTATGTCTGTTAGCCTGTAAAGGTGCGTTCCATTTTTTGGTAGATAACATTAGTTCTCTTTGTAATTACCGCTCACGTAATAAAACTAACAATGTTTGTTTATGTCCTCGCTGTTTTCCGTATTTCCCATAGATCTTAGTCACCGTTTATACAAACTCTGGAGACTTTTTTTGGGGGGGGGGGGGGGGTTATTTCATTGATCTCAAGTTGGTAGTCAACATGGACTGATATCAGTTGGAAAACCATTGAAAGTTTGACAACACTGGAAAGCCGTTTCTCTCTACTGTGGGACTCCTCAACAGTGTGCACCCAGGGATCAAACCCACAATTTTCAGGAGAGTTGAACCACCTTGGCCGTGGAACGCTAAGGTCCTGGGTTCGACGCCTGACGAAGTCATGGGTGATGGCTATTGAATCCTACACCAGGAAGAAACAGGTGTCCAGTGCTGTCAAGTTTTCAATATTTCTCCAACTAAAGTAATCAGCGTGAGTAAGTTGGGTCCTGGTAACACATCAAAGTAACGTTCTTTACGAACTATCACCAGCTGCAGAACCACTGAAGACCTGGAAGCATTGAACAGCTATTTCCTACCACTTTTGAACTTCTCACCACTGCCCATCTATGACTGCAGAACGGATTCAACCTAGAACTATCACGTCTTATGGCGAGCACCTAACCATGCAATCATTCAATTAGGACTTAGTGGTTCATACTTTTCTACTTCCATCAAGGGCTCCTTCATGAGAATTTTTCAAGAATCGCATACTAGGATGAAGTAGCTATGTAGTGCTCCGAGATTTTGAGATCACTTGTGACTCACGGCTTCAGGCAGATGACTTCAAACCACTAGGTCGAGGGTTCGAACTCGGAGCCACCCACTAAAGTTTAAACAGACAGACTTCATAATATTTAGGTGTGCCTAACCCCCTACTGCACAAAACATGTACAAAGTATTTGAGTGCGTTCTGACTTTTTCTTTCCTGAGGTTTTTTTCTTAACAATTTCTCAACTGATGTCAGTTCGTAATGAATATTACCTTGAGTTCAGTCAATCTGCATAAATGAACATGTGACATATCTTGGTGAATAAAACTCACTCAGAAGTTCAACATTCAATCTGTTAATCAATAGAAACTTGGTTACCAGCCCATAGCTTTTTCTTATCGGTAAATTATAAAGCAGGAATAATATTTTAAATCACTTTCGAATTACTATAACAAAACACACACTGACTGAAAACAGAACAATTAGAAGAGAGAAATTACACCAGTTTTCATTGATATTCAATAATCAATATTGTATTCTGACTTATATAATAGGGAAGAAGATCAAAGGGTTCTATACAAAGCAGATAGAATCTAGGAACTGTAATGGCTTACCATCCAGTAATGGAATCATTCACATAAGTGTGTCTTTCAAAGGATTCCTTTTAAATCACTCGGTAGTAAATTAGGCCTTAGGAAACTTCAGTGACAAGTGACCAACCTCTGAATGTCCTAGGTAGCATGCGTTTTTTCAAGACTATACCTATCTTTAGCTGATGAGTGCTGACAAATACGAAAATCGGGTTAAGTAAGTAATACTTTTTGGCTCTTGACAAATCAGTGCTTCACTTTCCAACTCATTAGTTACACTCCAAACCTGGTAGAGAAAAATTCTGCGATCAGCACTGAGAATTTGATGGATACTTCGGATAGCATTAGGCAATCAGTTCAAAAAAATTAGTTTCTCCAGGGTTAATGACACTCCTTTCTGATAGGTGATATCGCTTTATGTCAGCTAACTTCGAACGATTCAGTTCATTGTACTAATCATGGATATTGGCTAGCAGTGGAATCCAGGATGCGTGTTTCGTCCTACCTGGAACTCGTCAGCTGGATGTATCTGTCTCCCAGTGAGAAATATTGTCCTCATCAGGATTCAAACTCAAGACCAATCACTTCATACACCAGATCGTTATCCAATACACTAACGAACCACAATCGGTGTAGTTTCAGTGTTGCCGCTGTATTATACCGTCGTTGATCACACCGAATTGATCGGTCTCTATTGGCATGTGGACTACTGCATGAATGCCTCAATATTTGCCTGTGTTTTTGCATTCTATATAGTAATGATGGATATCGAGGCATCCACACAACAGCCTATATCCCAATACACACACATCAATTCGGTTCAATCGACAAGCAATAATACTGGTGATTAAACCTGTCGATGAAACACTCTTCATCAAGCTGTTCTACAACACATCCAGATCACCTCCTCTCATACATTTCAAAACTTGTACTGACAGTGTTCGAAAGCTTCTTCATCGTGATATGCAACTGTGCACATATCTGTGCACATCCTTGATTGTGTTCGAAGTGGAACCAGGGAACTTGACTTCTCCTAGGCAGGCAGGCAGGCAGTATATTACCACCATTCGATGATGAACTGATTCTATAATGGTACATTCACATTCACAGTTAAGTTGTCACCAGGATATATTTGCGTATTGTCAAGCAGTTTCCTCATGAGTGTACTTACTGATGTTGATTCAACAATGTAATGATGAGACTAGTTTGTTGACATTTGGACTGAGAGTATGTGTGATGTCTGTCTAAAAATGAAGTAGCGCATAAGCTTTAGACACTGGACTGCAAATAGTGTATAATGTTAGTGTTGGTAAATCCTTGGAATATGATGGGAATCAGGTGGTATGGTGACATTGGTTACCGAGGTCTTTGTAGCTTCTTAAGACCGAATGAATTTGATAGGTGTGAGATTGTAGTTTTGTTTGTTTTTTATGATGTGTGTTGATGTGGTGAAGACTTTAACATGAGTAGTGATCAAATATTGAGTTAGGAATGTGGAGGAGCCGATATGTGAATGGAGGCCAATCAATTGGGTTGAATCAACGACGGTATACTATTAGCAATAATACTCATTCTGTTCAATCATGTGGATTGAAGTAGGTCTTTACTGTCACAAAATCCTGCAGTTATCGATCATTACAATCACTCCTCTTTTAGCAAAAAACTGAGGAATCTTTACTGAATAAAATTTACAGCCCCAGGGTAAACAGGTGGATAGTTCGAATCTGTCATTGAATTAGTAGAATTCTGTCTTCTGCATTCCTATATGATAGGATAGGTATGATTTGTCTTGAATAGTGACAGAACTCTCTCAGTCAAAGTAGTATTCATCACAAACTGACGCCAGTTTCTGCTTACCTCTTATTTCTCGAAGTGCTCAGGAGAAGTCATTATATGCGGGTCGACCAAGTAAATGGTGGTACCAACTAGCTAGCCAATACCTGAAAAAGTCTTTTGCCTGATAAACAACTGAAGATCATACCATGTTCCAGTGAGGTCATGAACAACCTATGTTGGCTGATGGGCTCCGGTGCGGAAACCCAGTTACTGTCAGATATCAATGATGATATATTCATCTTGGTGACTAGCATTGGGATTCACAACACTCCTTTCATCCTAATTGGGACTCGTCAGCTGGAGGTGGCTCTTGTGTCTCAGTTTGAATTTATGGGTACTGGGTTCGAGCTGCAGTGGAAACAACAACGTTTACGTGGGTGCAGGTATACCAAGCTGATGAGTCCTATATGGGAAGAAATTCCATGACTTATTTCCACTGCTAGTCACTAGGATGAATATGAAGTCATGAACGGTTGCAAGTGTCATAACACAGTGAGAGGTACGATGACAGAGAGAGAGTGGATATCATCGAGACTGGGACGCCGACGTTTAGCCATAGGTGTACGCAGTCCACTGAGGTTGCATATCACGATGTATTGTGTTGCTTAAAAGGATGCAAATCGATCATCACTAGGATCCAACTCACAATACTGATCACGATTGGATAACTTATTCTAGTATTGAAAATACTACTAACTACACACACAAAGAACTGGATAATAAGTAGTATATCACTTAGCATCATCATAAGTTGTTTAACTCACCTGTAATTTTATTTGGATCATCCATTTCTGAATCGGAAGTATGCGCTGTTTCAGTCATATTGCCTGTATTACACTCAGATTCTCAAAAGTGTGATTATTTTCTTTCGATTGTAAGTTGTGCAGTAGAAAACGCGGAAAGAAAGTTGCTCTCGAACGAAAATATCGAAATTGGTAGATTCAAAAAAATGTACATATATAGAAAGAATATATTAAACTGGTTAATGTGAATGAGTATGTGTGCTTTTGTGTTCCACTTGGATGAAATTTTGCACTTGTATGTATGTGTGTCTGTGTACTTGTTAAACGAACGAAAACGAAATGCACACTGATCCTCCGACCAAATGAATCTCTGAAACAAGTTGAGAATGAATATTCAAAGATCTTCAGTTGTTTAATATATTTATATATATGTCTGTGGATCCGTGTGGTAACGCAATCACCTAAATACCTTTGGATCAATCAGATTGATCCAAGTCATGTAGCCAAGAGAGACGAAGACAGACACAGTGAGTGAGAGGAGTCGACGGTTGATAGATAGACAGGTGTGGACATAATTCTCTGTGAACATTAGAATATGATTTTAAATAGTTGGATTATACTAGAAAAGAAGGTGAACTAGTGAACAGCCAATCATAGTAATTGTGCTGGCACATTGTCATCTGATTGGTTGATTTTACTGTTAAAGAATTTCATATAAATTCAGTATTCTACATTTTTCATGATTATTTTTATAATTAATTTTATGTTGATAGATGAACAGAAATTTATCTAAGGTGCAGATTAAGAAGTAGTAATAGTGGTTGTTGGTGGTGGTGGTGGTGTGGGATTTTTTCCTGCACTGACTATGAACACTGGAATGGTGTAATGTACAACGCTTAAATTTTTGTTGACTATACAGCATAGGCGAAATTCACAATCTCTCGGTAACTATCACCTTCAGAAGAGTTCAGTGCCTAGAGCTTCAATTTCAAGATGAACAATACAAATGAAAAGTCCTCCAAAAGTATGAATCTATCAAAGTTGACAGTTTTTGATACTTGTTATACAGGGTCGAACAGTTTTCAGATGAGGTTCTAGGTGGAAGCCTCAATGCTGCCTGACAACTCATTACCTTGATGTCTAGTTGGTGGCTAACAGTGGAATCTACTACATGTGTTTCGTCCCATTTGAGACTCGTTAGCTGGGTGTACCTGCATCCCAGTCAGTTGCCAAACAGGATCAAGAAATTCTACTCAGTATAGAAGCGGGAAGTTACCAGTATTTAAAGCAAGAAATGATACCCACTACACAAGAGGTTGTGGTTGTCGTGCCCCAGTGGCGTAGTGAGTAAAGCTTTGGAGTTTGAAGCGATGAGGACTTGGTTCGAGTCTCGGTGGGGATGCAGGTATATCAAGTTGACGAGTCCTAAATAAGACGAAACGCTCGTAATGGATTCCGCTGCTAGCCACCAAGCAGACATCATCAAAGTTGACAGTTTCAAGGTTTCCCCTCCACTTCTGATTACTGCCATTCTCTGAGATCACTTTCTGGATAGGAATCGATTTCATGGCTGAATGATATGAACTTAAGTCTATGCGTGAACACCCGTCGATTCTCTAAGGATTCCAGATACACCTGATTAGTTCATGTTAACAGGGAGAGAATTGTGGTATTAGGATCCAAGATACTCTTTTCGAAACCACCTATCATCAAGTCCATTACTTTTTCAGAATAATAACATAAGTTTGATAATTTAATTCTTTATTACCTTTGAATTTACCAAAGCATAGACTCATGAATGATTTTCATCAACTTGGCTAACAGACGAAATATTCATGATGATCAATGTTATTGAAGATAAAACTTGTTCCCTGGTGACAAATTGATTTAATACTGTACAACAACTGATGACTTTGAGAAAAGCATCTAGATAGCTCAAAATTCAAAGTCATGTGATAAACTGGTTGATGAATTGAGATTACCAATACGACAGTCAATTGTGATGAATTACTTGGCATTTCGTTAATGTTTTCTGCCTGATATTTAATTACCAATGATTCACTGTTTCCATATCATTATTTAATAACACCACCTCATGAGTTTCATTGAAACTGTTATCATCTTCAGAGAGTAACTTATAACCCACTAGGAAACTACAGCCTAACCAATTTCATCTTTACCTAGTCATAAGTACCGACTGAATTCTATCCATCATTTTGTAATTTGGTCACCAGGCTGGGAAAATCAGTATCCCGGTGGACTTTGATTGATGCTAAGCGTTAGCAGGGAATCGAAAAGAAGCCTTACTGGATCTAGGCTTCATGTTTGTTGGTAGTTGTCAGCAATATGTATCTGAAACGTCAAAGGAACTACCACTGTGATTGCTTTTAGCTAAATAACACCCTAGGTTAGTAGTCACACTTCAGAATGGTCCACAGGATTCGAACAACAATCATGACTGGAAAACATGAAATCTATTGCCATCCAGTGACCAGACAGTATGTTTAATCCAGTCATACGGAAGGTCAGTTGAGGCCTGAATAGCTCATTGGTAGCTCACCTGACTATCGAAGGCTAGAATCTTTACGGAGATATTAGTTCATCTTACTGAAGAGTCCTAACAGGTACGAAACCTTGGTCAAAGGCTTCCTGCGGATTATCTCCAACTATCTGACCATATGAAGCTCATTAGTTTTCTTTCTAATGTTCAAAATTCTAGCGTAAAAATGACTGGGTTGACAATTTAAATGAATAATTTTTGAAAGAAATAAGGAAATAATCAAGCAAAACCAGGAAGTTATCCAACTTCTACCTGACTGATTCCACTGAGATTCATAGAAAATTTACTTAAGTTGAACTGATTTTTCAGTTTTAAACAGCCACTACATCGACTTACTTTCCAATCAACTTTCAATGCATGAAATTTCACAAGCAGAATAAAATTATCGATTCTTTTTCCATTTCACCTTATAAGTGAAGTCAACAGAGGTGAACCTGGTCATTATACTGAAGGTATTCTGCACTCAAGCCAACACTTCTTTGTGTTAGATTTCTAAACACTTATTATTACTGAATTCAACTGGTAATCATACCTTGGTGGGATCGTAAATGCGCACTGTTGACAAGCTCCAGACTAGTCCTTCAAAGTCAGTCAGTCAGTCAGTCAGTCAGTCAGTCAGTCAGTCAGTCAGTCAGTCAGTCAGTCAGTCAGTCAGTCAGTCAGTCAGTCAGTCAGTCAGTCAGTCAGTCAGTCAGTCAGTCAGTCAGTTAGTCAGTTAGTCAGTTAGTCAGGCAGTCAGTCAGTCAGATTCAGGTGATCAGAACATTTCTGCTCTATGATCTCAATTTATCCAAATATACAGCAAATGAATTTGGTCACGAAAGAGAGAAACTGCTTTCTGAAGCTAGGGAAAATTGAAGATCAATGAGAGTGACTTCTAACCACTCATCATGCTCATTATTGTCTTTCTTTAGTTCATGGAGCCTTTTTATCAGAGATAATATTTAGCTGGACGGTTTTAAACGGAAACCCTGTTGATGTTGCTTTCAGACAGTTGAAAAACTGTCCAACTGCGAGACTGTTTTATTTGTGTATAATTGGTGAACTGGTAATCCAGTTTGTATACTTCTTAACTATATAGAACCAATAGTAATTTGGCAGCTGCTTCAACACTACGGAATACCACAAACATTTATCAATCTCATTCAGCAACTATATGAAGACACCATATGCCAAATAATTCACAATCGGAAGCTAGCTCACTGATGCTTTCGAAGTGAAGACACGAGTAAAACAAGGTTGCCACCTACTATCACCTATGATCTTCCGCATTGTGGTCGACTGGATCACGCAACAAACTGTGAGGAGCTGTGAGAAGAGGAGGATACGCTGGCTCGACCAAGGAAAAGATCCTAGAACATTTGGATTTCGCCAGTGATCACTTGTGGCTGATGTCACACAAACTCCAAGATCTACAGGCGAAAACTAACAAGTTGACAGAAGAGATAGGACAGCGAAGGAAGACGGAACTTCAAGTGAATGTGGAGAAGACAGAGGTGATGAAGATACCCAACCACCACCACTACCACCACCACTACCACCACCACCACCACCACCACCACCACCAACAACAACAACAACAACAAACTCCAATCACCATCAACAGGAGAAACTTAAAGGAAGTAGCCCCCTTCACCTATCTATCTAGGAGGCACTGTTCCAACTACAGGTGGCGGCACAGACGAGGATGACAAAGCCAGCCAGGATAGGAAAGACAGCAAGACAGGCATTCATTAACCTGAAACCAGTGTGGAGATCTTCTGCACTCCACTCAGCATAAAGCGTCAACAACATCCAGATTTTCAACACCAATTCAGTGAAGTCAGTGCTCCTGTATGATGATTCAGAGACTTGGTGTGTTATGAGAGGCATTTCCAACAAACTACAGACATTCATCAACAACTACCACCTATTCTGGCTGCTTACTGAAGCTGAGATGGCCAGAATAATGAGAATAAGCAAGAAGTAACTCTTGGTGGCTGGCAACGAACTAACGCAGCAAGAAGCTATCACTCAACAAATATGTAGTGGAAGGAAGTGTAGATGGATTGAGCATACACTGAGAAGGCTGAGTGGGTACATCACGCGCCAGGTCAGTCCAAGCCAAGTCAAGCCAAGGCAAGCCAAGCCAGGTGCTCGAGTGGAATCTAAAGGGGGAACGGCTAGGTGGGCGTCCGAGGTGAGGGTGATATGGAGGAGATCGTGTGAGGAGGAAATGAGAGCTTGTTGGCTGTCGTGGAACCAGGTTGAAAAGATTTCAGAGAAGAGAGTGTACTGGAGACGTGCTACTGAAGCCATATGTTCCATTAAGAACCCAAGGCGCATAGATAATTAATCATCAAAATAATATAGAATAAGTAACGATTCAATACTTAAAGTCTGACATCTATGTTCAGAAAGCGACAATTAGCATCACTGTGATAACTGTGCGCTTTTCCCAACTACTCCATACCTTGTTCATCCTTCCCATTTTGTCAGTATTATCTTCCCTGCATATTCTACACAGGATGATATTTATG